TGCTTCTTTCCTTGGTGTTCGTGTGTTCAAATCTAAAGTTAAATTTAAGGTTAGTTAGAATAAATAGTTAATGAAATACTTTCCCGATTATTTAAGTGGTTGAATATGCATACAACATGAATTCAGGATTTGTTTTCATTCACAACTCAGAGTTGCCGCCTCCAGTGCCAGTAAGATTCTTGTGACTTGTGTGAGTGTGATATCTCCAGGCCCTCTCTGGTCCCATCTCACTTTGATTACCGTGTCAAACAAGTCAGCCTTCGCCCCTGCATACAGATATAATGTTATAAAAACCATTGGTCTTTTCATCTATTTGTCGTTTTTTATCTATAATTTGTTCTTCGGTTTTCTTTTGTTCTTCCTTTTAATTCATTAATTCGAGCATCCGTTTGTATATTCCTTTATGTAAACGTTCCTATTTATTCATAATACACATAATTTATTTCTGAAATATTTTGACTATTCCATAGATATTAATTCATTCCGATTTCATGTGTGTACTGGATTGTTTTTTGTTGGGGGGAGTTCAGTCTCACTAATATTTAGTTGTTCTTGCGTTTATTTAAGCAATCTACGCAGTCCACCGGCTATAGCAACCGTCTTCAACAGATCGTCATAGTTGACTGTGACCGCGTGAATTTAAGTGAAAGATTAATTCTACAATACGTGTGTCCCAGTTGTCGGCAAGGCTATTTTTGAGCAACGGGGTGAAAAGGCAACAAAAATTCGTTCTAGTAGAAAAATTTGTTCCATCAGAAAACAAAAGTTTACTCATTTCTTAATAACATTAAAAGGGATTTACTATATTGTAAGGCTTAATGTTGTTTTATTTATCAGTTGTTGTTTTTTGTTTTGTTCTTGTAGTTGTTGTTTTTTACAGCTTGTACTTAATAAAAGGTTAAAATATGCTAGAAATTGAGGTTTTTCTCCAAACAGGGTTTTTACAACCTGCGTTACAAAACGTGGCACATCTTTAAAACTGCTGAAGATATTTGAAAAAAAATACATTATCGCCGCGTTCATCGTTTAATTGGCTACAAGAATATATGCCCTTAATTCAACATCCAAAATGTTCGACAACTGAAACATTTCTCCAGGCACACACGCACAATTATATGTTACAAAGGTAGAATGACACTTAAGTTTTATTCAGAATTTTACGGATTCTTGCTACACAAAAAGGCCATACATACATGCCGAAGATTAGAGGTGTTTCTTGAGAGCAATATACAAAGGAAAGAAGGAGAGGAGATATTGGCGATAGATGTTTTTAGTTTTAGTAGAGGTTTTACGACACTCGCAACTGCATAAGGTCACATGAGCTCCAGAAGATTAGAGGTGCTACAAGAGAGTAAAAAAACATTGAAAAGAATAAGGGGAGATAAAGACGATAGATGTTTGATAGGAAAGAAGGAGCAAACCACACCAGAGCACCCGCCAACCTCCCGCGAAAGACATTTTGGACTTATCATGAAAATTAAATCAATAATAACAATTATAGTTATATTGATCATTATCATAGATCTAAGGATATAATAATAATAATAATAATGATAATAATAATAATAATAATAATAATAATAATAATAATAATGACAGTTCGTCCGCAAATGTCTGGCGATGACCAATACATCTGCAGAGCAGAATATCAATTCATTCGGGGCAAAAATTATCGACTATTGGCTATACATTGAATTGGCGACTTCAACGTATTGGGAATCGATCTGGCGTGTTATTGTTACCAACAACATATTTTTAAAACACCCTTTCAATCATTTTAGTAGGTACCTCCATTTCAAATTTCACACATATTTTAGAAGTATAGAAAACTTTTGCTTAGTTGATAGATCGATTTTTCCCTGACAGCCAAAACAAATCTAAAGTGTAGTACTACCAACTACCCATACGAGAAGAATTGAAAAGCAAATGTCATCAAAATTGATGTTTTTACACCCTTTATCGACACAATATTCAAGAACGTTTAAACGGTGGGCTGTCTTGACTCTGCCTGTCACAGCCAGCCTGGTTAAATGACGTCCAAGAAGAAAGATGGACATACTCTGTAAATTAGACTTTCTAATGAGAAAATCGTCTTCAACGTGCAACGGCTTGAGTCATAACCATTTCACTACAGACACTGCGACACAAGAAATAATAACGAAAAGAGCCGAGGAGGAGCAAATAGATACAAGCCTTGACGTAAAAGAGATGAACAATGACGAGGGTTGGGAAAAGAAGGACTGCATAACAATGTTGTTTTAGGAAAGAGTTTTACGGCGCTTTCAACTGCATAAAGTCATTTGAGCGCGCGGCATAACATCATAAAGGAAACGGGAATATAGTATGAATTGCATTTCTTAAAATTTACTTATAACAGGAGCCAAAATTTACAGTGTGTGTATATGAACACTTAAAACATATGCTTGTTAAGTTAACGATCTATAAGACTATGTTACATTTAGCAATATTGTTGAATTTTCCATACTCAGACATGAGCAGGAGAAAAACGAATCACAACATATGGATAACGATATGAACATACCCTTTTGCCTATATTTTGAATGAGTGTGAAAGCTGTCAGAAGACACCCATGTTCACTGTGTACATCCAGAGAGAACTTGGACTCCGACTTTAGCCTGGCGCCATCCTTGTAATTTCTCCATTTGCCAATTAATTCACAATTGTAATAAACGTCGAAACTGCACAATCAAAAACTTTGAAGTTCACTCAACACGCCTTTAGGGAAATACGTTATCTACAAAATTTATAGAAATGAACGTTTTTGCTGTTGCGTATCTGCATTCATCACAGACAAAAAGCTCACATTCTGAACCTCGAGCTAAACGGATACTGAAGCGATCTTGTCTTAATCTAATGATTTACAGGCCATCATAGGAGGTTAAAAACTTCACTATAAAGCGGCTTTATTTTGTTTGTTTTTTACTGTTTTAGGTCAGATGAGAGTCACCTTTTAATTAATCCAGGTGGCTACGACGCACTGGGGACATCTGGGATTAGAAGACCAATGTTATGAGCAAAAAGTCAAAATAAAGTGAGGTACACGTACTTCCTACTTCCTTGTTATGAACTCTCCATTGCACTTTCGCGGAATAACATAATAAGCCATGTTCGGTATCCACACATCACGACAGAATGCATCATAATTGAAGAGACAGAGAAGCGTAAACACACAAGTCAGAACATAATGCCACCCTTGTAGCCTGCCAGTGCGTTCACCGACTCAGCTGCGACATTACAATTTCTTCTTTTTTTTCCAAGCAAAAATGAAAAAGTTAGAGGCCTTGGCCCACTAACGCAATGCCCCCATATTCTAGACTTTCGAAAGCCTTTTTTTCGTCCCTAAAAAAACCAGTTTTATATTCGTTTGTAATATTTTTATATAATTGGACCTGCAGTGCAGTGCTAGCCAGCTATAATGGATTTTTAAAAATTCAAGATCGCATTGCTAAAACTGACCCTGAAAAAGGCAACGTGACATTCCTGATGTTGTTGAACGTAAGGTTTCTTTTCTCTCCCTCTCTTCGCATCCGTGAAAACACAAACTACAGTGAAGCTGTCGATCTATGGCTGTGATGTTTCGTACCACACGATGAGCCCTTATGTCTTTCTTGGCAGTTATTTCCTTTTTTTATTGGATGCTCCGAGTGCGCCCGTATTCTTGAACAATGCGCACTTTGACGCTCGCGCGCACCGCGGAATTCCACGTCGTGCTGTTGGAAGCCGTGCGTTTCGCGATTTTGCGTTCTTGTTGAATCCGAGAAGAGAAGGGAAATAGGCCTATCGTGTGTGTGTGTGGCGTGTGCGGTCAGTTTTCGCCGCAGCCACCGCCACCACTTTCCTCAAACTGCCGCCGCGCGATGTCTGCCGCGCGTTTGCCAGCGTCAAGATCTACTAACAACACAGTCAGTACTTGTGGAGGGAGACGAGCGTGCGTTGTAGGTTCAGGGTAGGGGGGAGGTGCAGTAAGGTAAGAAGAAAAAAAATGTGGGGTGTGTTAGGGAGGCGGAGAGACAATGCTGGTTTACAAGAGGGGGACTGAAGGTGCACGGGGTGGGAGGAGAGGTGGAGTTGAGGAAGGGGGGCATTAAAGTTTAAAAGGACTCAGGATTGGGAGAAAGGAACAAAAATAAGAGTAACTAATTGGGGTTTAAAGGAGGGGGAGGGGAGGTTGTGCGCGAAAGAGGAAAGAAGGGGGGAGACTGTGGTGTTTTGTTTTTAGGAGGTAGATGTCCCCGCCAGTTCAGTCATTTATTCCTTAACATCACACTGCTCATTGTTGTTGCTCCTGTTGCTCTTGTCGTAATTTTTACTTTCATTATTATTGCTTAGGCCGGCTCTATTTCTCCGAACGTTCGGGAAAATAAAGCTGGGCACTCTTTATCTGAACGTTCGGGAAAATAAAGCTGGGCACTATTTCTCCGAACACTCTGAAATCACACCCTTTCCGGCAAATTTCGGATATATATATATATTATAT